GGGGGGGGGGGGAGTGATTTTTCACCTTCTATCTCTCTGTCTCTCTGTGTCTCTCCAGTGAGCATATGTGCCCTAGAACAAAAACATCTCTCTTGGGAATAAAAAAATTTAACTCTGAAAGACAAGCCCTCTGCTAATCATGGAAGTGTCTTAGGCCTGTCCCTGCTCCTCCAAGACCCAAATTCCCACAACAGTGATCACAGGCTGGCAAGCCCAGACCAAATACTGCGCGGAGATCCATTCTGTTTTTCCCTCACGGTGGTGTTTGTAGACACGAGGACATGGCCAGTCATGTCAACAACAGGGAGAAACATTTCCCATGAAGATCTGGATTTCTGGTGTCTTCCAGGGAATCTGCAGGTCTGGCCTCGCAGTCATGTCCACCAAGAAACATCAGACAGATCTGGGTGGCCGCATGGATGCTCTCCAGTTAGCCACAGGCCCCACCGCTCCCTGGTGTCACACCCGGCCTCCTTTTCTCATCTGTATCATTCGTCCAGCCCTGTGGGCACTGCTTTGCTAGCCCCATCTCGTTGAGAAATGAATGAGGAAATGAGCAGTCCCCGGGTGTGGTCCCTGAGTGACAGCAAGAGGCCCTGGGGGCCCGCAGTGCAGAGAGACACTCAACTCCCAGTGAGTCCCCCTGCAGGCACACAAGAGGCCATCCTGGCGTCCCTCTGGCCTCTTACTCTGTCCTGGCATTCAGCCTCCACCTCCGTCCCTAACCCCCTAGCTTTCTCACTTTCATTTACCCTATGTTCCATTGCACCCCCTAAAGACCTTCACTGTCAGGAAGATTTTCTTTACCCACCCCAACGCTTCCTTTTTTTTTTCTTTTTTTTTTGAGAGGTTTTTTTTTTTTTGGAGAGGTTTTTGCTATAAGGCGTGTGCACTCGCCCGAAAGACAGAGACAGAGAGACAGAAAGCGAGAAATCACCACCACCCCCCCCAGGGGGGATGGCCACACCGCACTCCCTTCTCCTCCGTTCTCTTGGGATCTTGGGCATGCACGCACACGTGCCCAGCGTGAGTTTGAAGACGCCAGGTCCAGGACTCTAAACGTGGTTGACTATGTGGGAGTCCAGCGACATAGCCATTACGTCATCTGCTGGTCCCCACCAAAGGATATTCTAAGCTACAGTGACATGGTTGGATTTGAGTGTTCAGAGGTTCCTCTGAAAGGTAACATGTGAAGGATAGCGAGGCTGAGGCCAGAGGCAGGGAGGCCAGTCTGGAGGCTGAGAGGTGCGGAGGCTGCCTAACCCTAGGTCTCCGATTTTCTGTGTAGTCTCTGGCCCTGGGGAGCTGGGTTGTGAGGGAAGGAGGCAAGGCAAACATCCACCATCCCAGCAACCCTGAGGACGGTGTCTTGAGGGTACCCAGGTACAGAGGGTGCACTGTGAGACCGGGAAAGGCAAGGGGAGCAGCCTGCCCCGGTGGAGTGACTCCTGGCGGTGGTAGCTGCAGGGCAGCGGGCCCCTCCTGAGGCCGTCTGTCCGTACTGCTGTCCCCGCAGGGCGGCATGTACATCTTCCAGCTCTTCGACTCCTACGCCGCCAGTGGAATGTGCCTACTCTTCGTGGCCATCTTCGAATGCATCTGCATCGGCTGGGTGTATGGTGAGTAGAGGCCGAGCCATCCACCTGGGGCCCAGAACACCGCTCCTGGGGTCTGGGTGGCTCTGGGTTCCTGTGACCTGTCCCCATCTGGGACGGCTGCTGGGAGATCCTCTTCCTTTGCAGCCCCGAGGAGCTCAGGCACTGTGGTCTCGGCCTGTCCCTGTGCCCCGAGGCTCGGTCTTCCCCTGTGTAAAATGGAGTAGCCACCGTGTCTCCAAACAAGGCATGATGTAGCCAACACAACCCTCGGTGAACGCCTGCCTCCTGCTCCTCCTGTCCCCAAACCAAAAGACTGGTGACAGGGGCTCAGCACAGTGGTGGCCCTCCTGCCCCGAGTGTGGCTTGGGAGCAGCAGCCCTGCCCATGAGCAGCCCAGCCAGGCCCGCCCTCACCTTCGAAACCCTGACTTGCACCAAGGCCAGCTGGCCAGGCCCTCGCACGGCCTCTCCACAGCAATCGTCCTCCTGCCCTTCTCCCAGAACCTCTGGACCTCAGTGCTCAAGGCCAGGAGAGTCCTTCCTGTCCAGGGTGGGCCTGCCCCTTCCTGCTGCCGTAATCTATAACCCCACTCAGAGAGTCTCGATGGTTATTTTATTCAAGAGAGATTTTTGTTAAAGGACCCATGTGCTTGATGGAGAGACATAGAGAAAGTGAGACGTCACTCCCCAGAAGGGATGGTCACACCATAATCCCTCCTTCTCCATTCTCCTCTTGGGATTTGGGGCACACACACACATATGTGCCCAGCATTAGTTTCAAGCCACCAGGTCCGGGACTCGAACCGCAGTTAGCCATGTGGGAGTCCAGCACCTTGACCACTGCGCCACCTGCTGGCCCTAAGACTCAGTAGGTTTTAAGCGGTGAAGAGGCCCTGCCCGATCTCTCCTTCTCAGGCCGGGGAAAGCACACACTCCTCACCTTTCCCCTGAGTCTTGCACAAAAACTTTCTGGAGGCTGTTTGTACCCCCTTTTCCTCCTGGACAGGAAGCAACCGGTTCTATGATAACATCGAAGACATGATTGGCTACCGGCCATTGTCACTCATCAAGTGGTGCTGGAAGGTCGTGACCCCTGGGATCTGCGCGGTAAGGACCCCGCCAGGAGCCAGCTCGGTCACCCATCCACCTTCCTACTCACCCGCCTGGCCAAGGCTGGAACTGAGGCGGCTGCTGTCCCTCAGGGTCCACCTGACACCTCGCAAGCTGGGAGCCACCAGCACCCGCTCTGGGCTTGACCTCAGGCCGCCCCCTGGTTTGCTGTGTGACTGAACAAGCCCCTTCCCTCTCCAGGCCTCGGATTCTGCCATGCACACAAGGCCCTGGGATCTGCCTGGGTGGGGGCTGAGGATGACGTGAGGGAGAATGTTTTGCTTAGTATTTGCAAAGGCAGCAGAGCCAGGGGTGATACTGAGCTCACGCTCTATCCCCGAGACCAGGCCACAGAGCGGCCTTTGTGAATGGATTTTTTCCCCCCCAGAGAGATTTTTCCTATAGGGCATGTGTGCTTGCTGGAGAGACAGGAAGCAAGAAATCAACCCCCCAGGGGTGACGGCCACACCTCAATCCCTTCCCCTCATCCTCCCCTTGGAATTTTGGGTAGGCATTCATTTGCACTTGGTATGAGATTCAAGCCACCAGGTCCAGGACTTGAACCGTGACCGGCCATGTGGGAATCCAGCACCTTAACCACTATGCCACCTGCTGGCCCTGTGAGTGGGCGTTTAATAAAAACAGCTCCATAAGTCCTTCCTGCCCTCCTTGGACCTAAGAGTATCTCAGACCGTCTTCATAGGCCGTTGTGGGTCTGAAAGGAGCTTTGGAACCAGCCCCAGAAGTCGCTAGGAAACGTGGCAATTCCTGACCTACTGGGGCTGAGGAAGGTGCTGCTAGGCGGGGTGGGGAGGGTCACACACCCCAGTGTGGCCCGAGGACCATGGGAGGCCAGGCCCCAGGGCTCCTTGCCTGTGTGTCAGATGCCATCCGTGGGACAGTCCTCGGGGTGGGTCTGCCTCACTGTGGCTCCCCTCACCGAGGCTGGGTACCCTCTCTCCTGCTGGCTCCTGCAGCTCCCAGCCTGGGCCACCGAGGTGCAGCAGGGCGAGGCCGATCCCCAGGACCCCTCCTGGCTCTCTCCACAGGGCATCTTCATCTTCTTCCTGGTCAAGTACAAGCCGCTCAAGTACAACAACACCTACACCTACCCGGCCTGGGGCTACGGCATCGGCTGGCTCATGGCGCTGTCCTCCATGCTCTGCGTCCCCCTCTGGGTCTTCATCAAGTTGTGGAAGACGGAGGGGACGCTGCCTGAGGTGAGCCCGCCCCAGAGGAGGGCGGGGGCTGATGTGGGCTGGAGATGGCTCTACCCTGGGGGTGCCCACCTGCCTTGCCAGGAAGCTGGGGCAAGCACCTGTCTGGCAGGTGTTTGTCATTATGACTGCGCCGGAGGTGTCTCTGTGAGGCCTCAGGGTCGAGCCCATTTCCACGAGCCCGGCCTCAGTTTCCCTGTCTATTAAACCGGTGAGGGCAGCGCCGAACGTGCAGAGGTTACAGGGACTCGGTGAGCTCCTCTGACGAACGCACTGAGACGGGGACTAGGCCCAGGGTGCTCTCACTGTCCCACTCCTGCTGTTCATCTGGACACGTGGGGACACCTATCCTGTGCATTGCTATGCCAGGCTGTCCACCTGCTGTGTCCCCCGTAGTCCGCAGAGGGTGAGAGGCATTGTCCTTTTCAATAACAGGCGGAGAAAGGAAAGCACGCACCTGAGGTCACAGGGCTGCACCGTAGCAGACCAGAGCATTTACACCAGCTCCCTGACGGATGTTTCACACGCCACCAAGTCCGCCCACTTTGGGTGTACAATTCAATCATTTTTAGTGGGACCAGCATTTGGCGTAATGGCTATGTCACTGGACTCCCATGTAGTCAACCGCGGTTCGAGTCCCAGACCTGGTGGCTTAAACTCACACCGGGCGCGTGTGTGTGCGTGCCCAAGATCCTGAGAGGAGAATAGAGGAGAAGGGATTGCGGCGTGGCCATCCCCCCTGGGGGGTGATTTCTCGCTTTCCGTCTCTCTCTTTCTGGCGAGTGCATGCACCCTATAGCAAAAACCTCTCCAAAAAGAAAAAGAAAAAGAAAAAAAAAGAAAAGAAAAGAAAAGGTAAATAAATAAATAAATCATTTTTAGCAGATTTCCATAGTGCAGCCATCAGCTCGAGTCGGCCTCAGGACATTTCTGTGCACTGACATGATCCCTTCTCCCGTGCACAGTGAAGCCCTGTTCCCACTCCCAGACCACGGCTCTCCCGTGGGTTCACCTCTTCTAGGCTTCTCCTACCAGTGGAATCCCCCAGTACGTGGTCTCAGCAGACTGGGTTTCAGCTCAGGCCCAGCGGACTCCACGGCCCTCGCTCTCTGCCCACTCCTTCCCTCTCCCCACTCTTCCCCTCCTGCTGCCACTGGACGGGTTGAGTCTGTTTCTGCTTATTTAGCAAACAGCCGAAGGCTTCCCTGTGCTGGACACCATTCTGAGCAGTTTACAGATACCGAGTCACGTCATCCTCATAGCCATCCTGTGAGGTAGAGATTTTGTCTCTGAGGTGAGGAAACAGAAGCACCGAGAAGGGGAGTAACTCTCCCGAGGGCGCACAGCCTCTGAGCGATAGAGCGGAGACCCTGCAGTCTGTCTTGTTCTCAGAGCTTCACTGCCTCTGCCTCCTCCACTGGACTAGCTGCACCCCACTGTGGGGCGCTGTCTGTTCCAGGGCCACACCCCAAGGTAGGAATTGACCTTTGCCTCCCAGGCCACAGTCAGAGAGAGAGACAGGAGGCGGGCGTGTGCAGAGGCTGGAAGGCAGGTGGCAGCTGAGAGTCAGTGTCACCAGCCCTCCTTTTGCCAGGGACCTAGGCTCCAGAAATGGCAGGGCATTTAGCCAGAAGGGGTGAGCTAAGAGGGAGGGCCCCTTCTCAAGCCTGCTCATGCCCAGACCAAGTCAGCTCCGCTGGGCCCGCAGGGAGTGTAGGTCAAGGGCAGTTGGCTAGTTCTGACCTGGGGCCGGACACATCCAGACAGGAGACGCCCTGGGGCCTTAAAACCTTGACGCTGCAAAGCACCCATGTGGCCTTTTGGTGTTTAGAAACACCTGTGTTTTGGAACCAGCAGATGGCCCATGGTTACATTGTTGGACCCCCACGTAGTCAACCACGGTTTGAGTCCCAGACTCAGTGGCTTAAAAACATAACACTGGGCACGTGTATGTGTGGACTCAAAATCCCGAGAGGAGAGTGGAGGAAAAGGGATAGTGGCATGGCCATCCCCCTGGGGGTTGATTTCTCACTTTCTGACTCTGTCTCTCTAGCAAGTGCACACACCCTATAGCAAAAATCTCTCTAAAAAGAAAAAAAAGAAAGAAAGAAAGAAAGAAAGAAAGAAAGAAAGAAAGAAAGAGAGAGAGAGAGAGAAAGAAAGAAAGAAAGAAGAAAAGAAACACCTGTGTCTTCTGGAAAACCCCCAGAGTTGATCAGGCTGGTGTGGGAGGCAGGGAACGGGTAGCTTATTTTCCTGAGCTCGCATACCTGCCAACCCAGGCAGCAGGGCTTGGTGCAGAGAGGGGCTCTTCGGAGGAGCTCAGACCCAGTTTCTAGGCCTTTCTTACCAAGAGACCCGGCATGCACCTCCCTGAGCCGCAGTTCCCACCAAGGCTCTGGGAACACACCGGATCTGGAGGGAGAGATCTGGAGGGAGAATGGGTCGGTGCCACCTCTCTTTCCTCGGAGAGTCAGTCTGAAATGAACACTTCCTATCAAAGGGCGACGTGTTAGCACAGGGCTAGGTTGACTCATCCGAGCCTTGTGATCACCCCGGAAGGCAGGGGCCCTGACTGCCCCCTTTCACATATGAAGAAGCTGAGGCCCAGAGAGGTTACGTTTCTCACTTGTGTGAAGTCGTGTAGCCGGGACGCTGACAGAGGTGGCTGACTCAGAACCCAGGCACTCCACCCTCTGTGTCGGGAGTCTGGCACGGTGCCTGGCGCACAGGGGAGCCCATCTGCTCGCCCTACCTGGTCAGCGGAGGGCCAGCCTCTTAGGCATGTGGGAAAGAAGATGGATCCTTGAGCATGAGAAAGCAACCACCCAAGGCCGTGCAACCTCTAGGGAAAAGGTTTGCGCCCCAAAGGGCCTCTCAAACCCTGTCCCAGTGCCTTTTCCTGAGGGAGCTTGGGAGGGCAGATAGAGTTGGGGGTGTCACCTCCCTCTCTACCCCCTGCCGCTGCCCCCGTTCTGTCTGAGGGCAGGGGTAGACCGTTGCCGTGGCCTTGGCAGAAGCGGCCATAACTGCTTCGCAGGGAGCCAGAGGCTGTGGCTCTGAGGGGGCCATTGCGATGCTCCTGCTCCGAGTAAGCCCAAGGGGCACATTGCGGTCCCTGGACCTGCCAGCCTTGGCATCCCTGTGGTGGGAAAGGCACCCACTCACCCAGCAGTGCCACATCCGCAGCCCTCGAGGCCCCCTCAGTTTCACCCTCCCAGGCAGGCACCGCCAGCATTTCACAGACGTGGCCAGGTGGCCGACTGCCTGCCACAGCCAGAGATGCGAGCCCCAGCTTCTCGGCCTCCTCCAGGGGCAAGGGACAATGCGTGGGACCTGGTCACCGCTTGGACTCCTGGTTACCTCCTGGTTACCTCTCGTAGTCATGGAGGCCGGGAGAGAGCTCGGCCCTTCCCTGGTTGGCTCCTCAGCCAGCGCCAACAGGAGGACCCTCCACGGTGCCCATTTCCCAGAGGAGGAGACAGCAGGGAGGGCCGTCCCTCACCCGGGACAGAGCGGAGGCCTGGACCTGGGTCTGATGAGCCACCGTGGGGACCGAGGCAGACCCACTCAGACAGCTCTTCTCCTTTCCTACCATCTAGAAACTCCAGAAGCTGACAAGCCCCAGCGCCGACCTGAAAATGCGGGGCAAGCTTGGGGCGGACCCACGGACGGTGACAGTTAATGACTGTGAAGCCAAACTCAAGGCCGACGGGACCATCTCCGCCATCACAGAGAAGGAGACGCATTTCTGAGTGCCCGCCCGCCGGCCGCCTGGGGTCCCCCCTCCCCGCCCTCCTCCCCTGTGTGTGTAAATGAATCCCTGAACACGTACTTCGCCTAATGGTAGGGGCTTGCTCGTTTTGCACAGAATGTATTAACAAGTTAATTTTCCGGGGGCCACCGTCCACTCGGGTTTCAGGTCATGTTCCCCTCCTCGCTCCCTCTCGCCGCGGACATAGCCACCGCGACCCAGATGACGCTGTACAGGGACTAGCAGCCTCCTCTCGTCCTAGGGCGGTTTGAGTCCATGTTTTGTAGGGGTCAAGAAGAAGTGTATAATATTGTCAAACTTTTATACTTGGGTTGCAGGGCAGCTGCGATGTCGTCCTCGTCTGTCAGCCTCTAACCGGCCTTTCCATGTCCCTTCCTCGTCCCCAGCCATGCCCAGACACCCCCCTGCTCTGCGTTCCCTGGGAGAGTTTTTTCTTCAGACCTTCTACCCTTTTGGAGGGACAGCGGGTTTGCAGCAAGGCCGTGGGGCAGAGGAGACCACGTCTCTCCAGACTCAGGGTTCCTGGGTTGTAGGCCTCGCTCTGCCCCTGGCCCCACTAAGTGCCCTTGGGACTCTCTTCTCCTCCCTAGGCCTCAGTTTCTCCAGCTCCCAAATGAGGAGAGGGCTGGACTGGGTGGTCTCTTTGGGATCCCTGGGTGCTGTGGCCTTGGCTTTCTTGGAAGGCTTGCAGGCAGCCACCCCGTCCTCCCTGTCCTCCCTCCCGCCTGTGTGTTCGCACATCAGATTCGCCATGGGAATGACGGGGTGGTGATGTGTACTTTCCCCGGATTCTAATCCTACTCCCTCCGCAAGCAGCCCCGCTCTCTGGACACCGGTGGTCCTCAGCGCTGTGCAGGAGCTCCTCGGTGGCCTCCTCCCTGCTGTCATCGGCTCACACCCTCCGCTCTGCCTCCGTCCGCCACAGGGCTGCCGAGCGTGACTGTGGGGCTGGTTTTCTGGGTCAGGAGCAGCCATCTTTTCTCTGTGCAGCTGGGATTTTGTCAGGACCGCCCTCCAGCCTCCGCGGGGAAAAAGCTACCGTGGGGGCAGGAGCCTGGTTTCACTGTCCGGCCCCTTCTCTGTCCCCCAGCCACCTCTTGCCCTGCTCTCTTCCTGCCTCTCAAGCCACTTCCTGTCCCTTCCTGTCCTGGCAGATCCCTTTGACGAATCTTTTTTCCTGCCCTATACTTGGGAGCTGTGTCACCCACCTCCATCGCCGGGGGGCCGAGCAGTCTCAGCTCTTACTGCAGGGGAGGACCGCCCCCCCACCCACCGCCGGCTCTTCCCTCTGTGCAGCCTGGGGGTGGGGGTGCTGTGTCCCCCGCAGCCCAGCTTCAGATCTCTCGGGCTCATATCTCCACCCCGTTTTAATTGGATTTTACGTCAAGTCTCTGCAGCCTTGGCTCCTGAGCTGTTTAGGGGTAGGGATGGCGCATCCTTTTCCCTCTTTCTTTAGGTTCTCGATGTTAACTGGTGCAAATGTGAGCTTTCTCTGACCCAAGGCTTTAGTCCTGTAGGGGACCCACGTTAGGGGACCATGCGTTCATTCATGGAAAAGTTTCCCAACGTCCAACTTCTCAGCCCCGTTGGGTCTCCATCTGAAGCCCGAGTTGGCCAAGAGGGATGCCCAGTATCTCCCCGGGCAGGTCAGGATGCCAGGTTCTGGGACCCCTTTTGTGCACACAGTCCAGACCTGCCCAGCTGCTTAGGGACAGGCCACCGTCCTCTTCTTGGGAAGCCCAGCGTCTCCCTGCACTGTCTGGCCCAGCGGAGCCAGGAACATTCCGCCTGGGGCCAGCCCTGCACGGGTTCGTCCTCGCTGCTCTCCCGCAGATCCGGGGAGGGAGGCTTCCCGTCACTGCTGCTACCGGTTCGCCACCACCAGCCCTCTCACAGACGGACGCACGGACGCCGTGGTCTGTCGTGACGGACACACACTTCGCATCGTACACGCGGCACTTAATGTTTGCCTCACTTAACACTACTCATGGGGCAGGCGGGGGGGTGGGGGGGCGATGGCCGGTTTGGGGGTTTTGTAATTTCCTACCAGGATCTGGGTAACTTTGGGGGGTGGGAGGGCAGTGTGGGTCCGGGGAACATGCCATTGTGACGACTTTTTTGATATTCCTTAGAAACAATACATCCTTTCTGAGATATTTACGGTGTTATTAAAAAATGAAAAAGGTTGTCCTGTTTTGCACAATGAACGTTTTCATTGGCTATTCAAATGGCGCAAGATTGTCCGCTTAACTCATTTTTTTATTTAAATGAAAGAACGCACAAACAGTCATGGGGTCGTTCCCTGCAGGGTGGTATCCGTTGCGTTTTGCTTCCCGTGTCTTACCCCCTCCGTGATGTGTCTGCAAAACCATCCAGCCTCCATGTTTGGGGGTTGCAATCTCAAGGCGAGATTGCAAATTAGAAACCAGTTTAAAGCAATCATTTCAGGACCCCCCCCCCCCACGTTCCTTTCGTTCGCGTATTCGCCATCTGGGTACTACGTGTTGAGTGCTTTACAAAAGTTATCTCTTGAGTTCTCACAACCACTCTGTTAAATAGACATTTTTCTAGTTCATTTCTGTGTTACTTTGCCCACTTGATGCATAGTGGAAACTGAAGCGCAGAGAAATCCGGCAGTTTCCGCCCACAGTCACACGGCGAGGAAACAGCAGGCCCAGAAGGCGAACTCAGATCTGTCTGATCCCAGAGCCCTCTCTCTTAGTCAGTTCATCATGCCTGACTGTTTCTCATGTCATGAGGCCTAAAAAAGGCAATAGCCATCTCACAGTGGCAAAAAAAGAGCTGCCCCAAAACTCATGCTCCTGTCCGGTTTGCATGAGGCCCGCAAGGCAGGCAGAATAGAGTGAGATAACTTAAGAGTATGCAGCCCTGGGACCAGCAGATGGCTTCAGGGTTCCGTCACTGGACTCCCACGTAGTCAACTATGGTTTGAGTCCCGGACCCGGTGGCTTAAACTCACACCAGGCGCGTGTGCGTGCGTGCCCAAGATCCCGAGAGGAGAATGGAGGAGAAGGGATTGCAACATGGCCATCCCCCTTAGGGGGTGATTTCTCACTTTCTATCTCTCTATCTCTCCGGCAAGCACACATGCCCTGTAGCAAAAATCTCTCTTGAAAAAAAAAAAAGTATGCAACTCTAATTTAAGCTCCAAGATCTGCCTGGGCCAGCCTCAGTTTTCTCATTTCTAAAATGGGGATAGTCGCTTTTGTTTTAAACACAGGGTGCTTATGAAGGTCCTGTGAGTTCTGGGTGTGCATGGTGAAGCTCTGCATTTGCACCAGTGATTAGGAATGAATAATGCCTAAGCGTAGAAAGTGTGTGTAGTATTGCTTAGAACTCAGATAAAAATCTTGGGAACCAGCAATTAGCATAATGGCTATGTCGCTGGACTCCCACGTAGTCGACCGTGGTTCGCATCCCGGACCCAGTGGCTTAAAACTCACGCCAGGCGCGTGTGTGTGCTTGCCCAAGATCCCGAGAGGAGAATGGAGGAGAAGGGATTGCGGTGTGGCCATCCCCCCTGGGGGGTGATTTCTCACTTTCTGTCTCTCTGTCTCTCTCTGGCTGGCTGGCGAGCGCACACGCCCTGTAGCCAAAACCTCTCAAAAAAAAAAAAAAAAAAAAAAAAAAAAGAACTCAGACAAAAATCTCTAAATTCGTGTCTCAGATTTCCAAGCTTCAGACCCACTTGAGACCACAGAGTGTGTTTTATCCTGACAGTAAGATCACCTGCGTGGCATCTGCTCATTCCTGTCCTTCGCCTAAAATCTCTGCTCTTAGACCAGAACCTATCTTGCCCTCTCACCTTTTCTGAGCTGGCACTATCTGCTCACGGGAAAGCCTCCCACTGAGTTTTAGAATTCAGAAAATCTTTGTGAACCACAGAGGATCCCTGAGTGTGTCGTAACTTCACAGAGCTCCAGGAAACGATGCAGTCGCTGTCGCTGCCACCATCTGCCCCTACTGTCGCAAAGTTCATTGAGTTAAGCCGGTTTAGCAGCAAGACAAGACGAGACTGGGTCCCACAAATGTGTGTGTCTCCTTCACTCCCAGGAAACCCAATATGCAGACCTTTGAGCCTCCAGAATCTCTAATGTGAGGAATTAATTTACCTGGTAGACCCTGAAGACTGCTAGTGACCCCTGCTGGACAGGTTTGACTCTGCAGCTTAGCTCTATTAGACATTGCAAACAAGCAGAGAAGGGGAAGGGAGCTTTGCAAATTAAGTCAAGGTCTGCCTTAGGCCAAAAAGTCTTTCCTGTGTAGCGGTGGAGGGAACTGAGCACCAAAGAGCAGACACTTTCTGCTGAAAGCTGCAAACTCTGGAAAACTGAGTCCTTCCGTGCATTGAGCAGGTCTTTACTAAGCACCCCCTATCTTCCACGTTTGGACCTAGGACTAGCAACGTTGATATAAGAGGAACAGTGCCTCCCCTTGTGTGTTCCTATTCTTTCCATCAGAGAAGAGGCGTCCACACCCCTCTGGATAGGGATAAGGGCGTGAAAGACGCCATTCTGCCTTCCTGTTGCCAGCTTTCTTCAGGTGTGAGCCCTGCAGTGTGGCACCGGGCGAGTCTGCCTACTTCTCTGGGCCTCAGCTCAGTCATCTGTAGAATGGTGAAGAAAGGAGCTCAGAGAGGGAACAGAGTCCTCCCAAGATTCCCCTAGCACGCTGGTGTACTTCATCGCATGATTCCTTGCACCATCGCGGGCCATTACAAAGCAGAAGAGCCCTCAGAATGGCACCCCTCACCAGTGGGGAGTCTTTGTTGCTAACTCTGGCAACTTCCCTGTGTCTCACTTTCGAGTGAGGTCCACTGCGTGCGTGACACTGGGAGGAGTGACCCATCTACCACTCCAGAGCTCTCAGGCTAGCCAAAATGTCAGAACTACTTCCTGAGGAACTGTGGGGCCGAACATGCTCGGGACCAAGTGCTCAGGAAGTACCAAGGGTAGGAATAAGAAGCATCTACTGAGAGCGTACTACAATGTGGGCACTGTGTCTGCAGTACCTCAACAGGACCTCAGCAGGTACCAGAGGTAAGCGTTGTTATCCCATTTTTCACATGAGGCAATTAAAGTTGAGAACAAAATGATTTTTCCCAGAGGGATACCAGATATACCCCGTAACAAGTGAAGAAGGGCTCGGATCAAGGGGTGCTAGGCCTACACTTGATCTTAGCCGAAAGAAGTGATGAAGTTGCTGGGTCAAAACAGAATCCACGGATGCAATCGCTCAACCAAGGGTGTGAGACTTGACCCGCACCCAGAGGGATGGGGTATTTAGTCAGGGAAGGGCCCTTGAGACAAGGGGACAGCCTGAGCAATGGCAGAAACAAGAAGCTGTCTTTGGGGGAGCAGGGTCGAAACCAGTGTTCTCCCCATCCCTGATCACCTGCTGTGAGGCTGAAGTGGCCTCTCCCCAACCTCTGACAGAGCCGGGGGATCAGATGACGTCTGTACCCCATTAGGGATGGACTCCTGATACAGATCTCTCTACGGGCCAGGGGCTTCAACGAGTAAGCACCTGGCTTGTTCCAGAGTGGGGGGTCATGAGAAAAGGAAGGAATAGGCATTGAAGAACGGGACCCCCACTGAGCCCTTTCCTTTGTGCGACCTTGACCTCAGCTCCCACATGGTTCACATTCTACCAGCGTGGGAACAGGGTGAGAGGGAGAGTCAGCTACCGAAGCTCACAGGGCTGTGGTAGCAAACCCAGGTGTCTCAGGCTCGAAGGTCCGTGCACTTTCCACACACCACCTGTAGTTTTTAGAGTTCTCCAGAGAAACAAAGTCAACAGAACATGGGCATCGATACACAGAAACAGATTCATCATGAGGGATGGACTCACGTGATTTCAGAAGCTGAGAAGTCCCACAGTCTGCCACCGGCTGGAGCTGCAGACCCAGGAAAGCCAGTGTTGCGGTTCCAGCCCAGGTATGAAGGCCTGAGAACCAGGAGCTCCATTGTCCAAGGGCAGGAGAAGATGGCTGTCTCAGCTCAAGCAGAGAGAGTGACTTTACTCTTCCTCCATCCTTCTGTTTTCTTCGCCGTCTGTGGATCCAACGATGCTTGCCCATATTGGAGAGGGAAGATCTTTTTTTTTCAGTCTTCTGATTCAAATGCTATTCTCCTCCAGAACACCTTCATGGGCACTCACAGAAAACAAAATAAAACAAAAACGTATCAGCTATCTGGGCATTCCTTAGCCTAGTCAAGTTGCCACATAAAAAGAAC